TCCTACAGTCTTCATCCTGCTTCGTTACCTTCATTTACCTGTGCAGTCACAGGCACAGTAACATCTCTCCAGATCATGACAGCAGTGGTAATTAACATGCTTGATGTGAAAAAGCACATTCGGTTTTGGTAGATCTGTAAATTTTCTTTGTATTCAGCCTTTCTTTTTCATTCTTGTGTGTGGTTCATCATATGCAAGGCACGAACACATGCTAAATGAAGCAGCAACAAGCTCCCAACTTTCTGACACCAGCTGTACAGATATGACCCATTGAGAACAAGCAGTGGCAGGACTGAGAGCAGGTGCACATGCACAGCATATCCCCTACACCGTTAAAGGGACTGTGTTATGGGTGGGTTGCATTTAAACACATAGGAGCTCCTGTGATACAGAGCCAACACGAGTTTGTCTGACGTTTTGCAAAATTGTGTATTTTTTCATATATCCACATACTCCATTTTGTGCTTTACGACCTTTGTTAAGGCATGTCACACACACTGTTCTAGCGTTGACTAGTTGGCGAGTTTATGATCACACCCAAGGCAAAACCTCTGGTTTATGTTGGGTAGGTTTGTGCCTTAGTCAGTGCTGAATGTAGTCATGAGTGACAAAAGGTAATATAAAATATGCGTGGCAGAGATACTGCCTGCAGCTTGAGACTGTTATGTCAGTCATAAGCAAGAGGCCATTGTTAGCCACAGTAGTTGTACAGGGACAGTAAAGCCAGACACTTTAAAGGCAGATGATATATGCACCACTCATGTCCAAGAGTACTCTCTCAGATAGAATACTGCAGTGCTTGCTTGTCCATATCAGCAGTATGATAAGAAAAGATAAGAAGGGTGCTAATTCTGTACAAATACTTTGAAAACTGGTGTCAGCCTTTCTGTCTCCCTAAGTCAGATCAGTGGTACCCTGCCCTGTCTTTCCTCCTCCAAAGGCAAACCCAACATGGTAGTCATTCTGCTCCTTCTTAACCATCTTGCCTTGCCACTAGCTGTGCTGTTTCAGTGATAGAGTATTTCTCCTCTAATGATTCAAGCGTAGAAATCCTCTCTCCAACATGTTTCCAGTTGCAGCGAATTCCTTCAATTAAATTCTGGACAAAATATCCTCTCTTTAAAAAAGTATATGTGTAGTGATCTTCTGTGTCCATCTAAACAAATGGAACAATAGCATGGTGAGAATTAATGTTTTTTTTTGTTGTATCCTGGGGGTGTATGAAGAGATGAGTGTGCTTGCAGCTGAGATGGTCTAAGGACATGGGAGAACAAGGTTTTCATAGTGGTTGTACTGAACCTTGTAGAAAGATGGGATAGTTGGAGAAATTTGACCGCTTTTAGGGCAACCAGGCCTTCTTCTGACCTGAAATAGCACCATTAGACCTCAAAGCTAAAGAAAGATATAGAATAGTTGCTTGGATTTTAGGTACCAGGTAGGCTGTTTCTGAAACCAAATTCTTTGGAGTAAAGCAGACATTAGAAGGGGGAAGACAATGTCAGAATACTTATTTTGTAAGGGAAGGAAAGAGGTGGGAATTGAGAATATTTCTACTGAATGCTTGATTTTAAAAGTTCTTGGGCCTGATACTGAGCAGGTGACCAAAAGCTAAAGGTCCTAAGAATCACTGTTTCATTGCAGTCATGGGGGCCCAGGTTAGCTTTCTACAAATTTTGGTAGCACTGGATAATTGACGGGGATAATGGCAGGGCCTCAACCCCTGCCAGCTGCTTGCTGACAACGGACGTGGCACTTTCCTCATTTTCCTCCAGTCATGGTCTGTTCTTTGAGTTCTCTGAGGAAGGGATTACCTTTGAAGTGGGAGAGGCAGTGCCAAGAATAGCAGAGCCCCTCATTTGGCCAGGGTACAGGACAGAGCTGTGACAAAAGACACTAATCAGCATGAAATAGGACTCCATGGAGCTGCATGTGCGCCTAGCCCAGATGACCTGTCTGTGAGCACAAAGGTTGTCCTCCCTGGGGTCACTTCACATCAGTGCAAACAATCATCACTCACATAAAAACACATCTGATCTACGGTTTGCAAGCCATTTTATTTGCCAAAAACAAATTAGTTTCATATTATACCGTTTATGTTAAGCTTTTTTCATAACCTTCTATATGGAACATTTGAAATTTGGCCGGCTGCCAGACAGGCATTTTCATTTTGACTTCTACCCTCTGAGCAACATTAATAAGCCGTATTTCAGGAGCCTGCCTATGCATACGCTGTCTTTCTGAGTTCGATTCTCCTTCATCACCTCAGTAATTCGACACTGCTTTCTCAGTACGAATACAAAAGAACTAAGAGATGGATCAGACAGAAGGTCAGTGTATCTTGTCCCTGAGCATCAACAGGAGCAGATGTCTATGAGAAGGCTCTTGGGAACCAGGATACTACATGTGGCCAATTCCTCTGAAATACCCTCTGAGTTGCTGCCATCTCAGGCCTTAGAGACTTCTTGAGCCAGCTGTCATATCCGATCTATTAGTGCCTGATGGACATCACTGTCCCTGGATGTATCTGATTGCTTTGTGAGCATGCGGATATGCAGCAGGCAAGGTGCACCACAAGTTGTCTGCCTGTTTCTTAAAAGTTCAGTAGCAGCTCAGATGCAGGAATCATCTTGGTTCTCAAAGTTCCACACTTACAAAGAGAAACCTTGTCTGAATAACGGGTCCTTTTTAATTCCACTAGAAAGTGCTTAATTCTTCTATAAGATGAGGTGTATTTCTTCACTGTTATAACTGCAGTTGTTTTAGGATGTATTTATGCTCACCTACTACTTAGGATTAGATTGTTTTAGAATAATGATGAAAAATGAAAACTCGAAATGCACTCGATATTGTTTCAAATTCCTAAATCTAGATATGTAAGCCCAAATTGGAGTGGAAAAGCCTATGATTATAATAACCATAATAATTTGCAGGCTGCTAGCCTTTCATCTAGAAGATGAGGTAGGCAGAAGGCAAGTCCATTATGATAACAATATAAAAGGCACTCAGACTCTGTAAGGTATCATTTAAATTGCAGTTTACTAGAGCTAGCACTATAAAAACAGAATGGTATGGATAACCACAGAATTACAGAATATCTGGAGTTAGAAGGGACCGATAGGTACTATAGAGTCCAGCTCCTGATTCCACACAGCATCACCCAAAATCCAAACCCTATGTCTAAGTGCATTATCCAATGAACTCTGTCATTATCCTTGAACTCTGTCAGCTTGAGGCTGTGACCACTACCTTGGGCAGCCTGTTCCAGGGCCTCCTCTGGTAAAGAATCACCGAATCATTGAATGGTTTTGGTTGGAACAGACCTTTTTCTTATATGAAAAAAACTCTATACTATTCATCATTTCCACAGCCAAACAGAAAGGATGTATACAGAACTTATGGCTGCACACATAGTGAAAAGCATGGACATGCAGGTGCCCAAATTGCTGGTAGCATGAGGGAGCTGCCTGCAGTCTCCTCCACTGAAATTAAGTGGGAATATTTATCCTGAGGTCAAGGGATTTGTTCAGCAGTAACACAGACTGAATGCCAGGCTGTATGTGTGGCACAGCACAGGACAGACAACGGGGGACACCAGACATCATAGCAGTGGAGCACACAGAATTTGGGGTCTGTGTTGGTGCTGTGACTGCGCTGCATGTTACAACTGCTATATCATGCTTTTAGTGTGCTCTCATTACATTGCTAAATCAAAGTACAGCCATGTAAGGCCAAATATGTTGAGTAGGTAAATTTGGTATTAACATTAAATTCTCATTGCGTGGAACACCTGAGGTTACCTGTATTGGGTTCTGACAGCATCAGAGACAAAATCACACTGCACATACATATAGTTTTTCCTTTGGCTAAAAGGTCTTTCCATGGGGTGCTCAATGAAGAGCTTAATGGGAGAGCAGTGGATTGAAAAGCATTTTTGCTGGCTCCCCACACAAGCTGAATTTACTTGCTACGAAACTCTCCCCTTATCAGCTTATGAACACTTATCACTTTCAGACCTTGGCAGAGACTTCTGACCCAGTCTTGAGTTTGAAATCTGATGTCTTTTTCAGAGCCTGGCTGTTGACTCTGGCCTAGGACCTAATCTGTGACCCAGGCTATCTCTTGCTGGTCCTCTGTTCACTTCTACATGTTTCTAGCAGACCTTTAATATGTGCAAAAAAGGTATAGTCTTGCAAGGCTTTTAGAGAATCAAACACATAAGAAAACCATGTGAACTAGAAGCTTTCATAGCCAGAATTTAAGACTAAAAAAAGAGTTAAAGACCAACCTATATATTCTGAGAAACATAATGTTCAATTTTATGTTAGTTTATTTACATCTGTTACTGCACAGACTCTTCGAACAACCTGACCCTAAGAAGAAATTGCTTTAATTCATGCATAAAGTCGTAAGAAAATTCCAGCAGAAGTAGCTTAGTGCTGTCTCATTCTAATTATAAGCAAGTATAAGGAAAGTCCAAAATTCCAGCTCTTTAACCTGGAAAGGGTCAAAAATTGCTACACCTGCTTTCATGTCTGCCCGCAGGGGCTGTCCACACTCCTGCTACTTATTGCCAAAGGTATAGAGTGGAAATTAAGGAACCACTCAAATGAAAATTTCTCTGTTGAATTGCCAGACTCCTTCGTGAGATACATTGAGACAAAGAAGCAGCTTGCAAAAATGAGGCCAGGGGCAGTTTTCTCTAGCTGACAGAGTAAGTAGGTTTATTGAAGAAACAAGTGGGAATAGAAGAAGTACAGCATGCCCAGGGCGAAGAAAAGTGTGTTTGTGCTCAGCACATCAGAGAGGTCATCAATGAATAGTTCTGCGTGAACGTCCGACCTCTGTGCTGCTGCCAAGGGCATGGAAACTTGGTAATATGAGAAGCAGCTTTCACTGGGCACCTACTATGTCTAAGATAAAAGCTATAGAAAATACACAATACACTGCACTCAGTTATTTCATCCACTTTCCCTCCTCCTCCACCATCTCATCCCTTTTACCTGGAGACATCTCAATACACTTTCCAAACAGCAGTAAGTCAGAAGGGCAATTCCGTCTGATTCAGATACCCTTTACACTCACTCTAGAAAGAAACAGAAGATCCAGGCATGAAAGAAAAGAATATTTAAAAGAGCTTCTGCTACAGGCATTTGCAATTATCCCTTCATTGTTTGCCACAGCAAACTCCTAGAAACCGACAGCCAGCAAACAAACTGATCTGTTGAAACCCTGATAAAAGAAAACATGAGAAAGATTTATTCTTTTGAGGTCAAATTCTCTATTAGCCAACTCCACTGACTTTAATTGAATGATGGAGTCATAAATTTTACAAAATTAAACTTCTCAGACAAAATCCTCTCTTGTTCTCTGCAGCATATTTTCGTATGTTGAAGCTAATGAATGATTTGGACTGGTGAAACAGTTCATACAACGAATTCATATAATTATTTTTATTCAGTGACATTTAAGATTGCTTCAAGTCGCATTCTTTCCTAAAGCTGCGAAGGAGATGTAAATGAAGAGTCTCATCACTCATCACATAAATAACGCACTTGGACTCTCCTATTTTGGAAACGTGATTACTGACCAAGATTTGCTCTCTGCAGAAACTTTTACAAACCTCCCTGCCTAAAAAAGTTCTGTTGGTAGAAGATGAAAATTTGACACAAGGACAGAGATTTTTGATCAAAATATTCCTTCCAAAACAAACTTTCATTTGTTTCATTTCAGCACTGAATGATATCAAATCACTGCACAAAAACAAGAATTAAGTACAAAAATTGGATTGGTACAACAAGAGAGATGGAAAATAATCCCCATCCATCCCACGACAGTAGTTTGTAGCTTGTTGGTTCCAGCACCTTTGTGTGAAATGGAAAGTGTGAATGTGAATCCTTGGAGAAGAAGGACCAAAATGCATCTGTCTCTCTCATGTCAGGGAGTGCTTTTCACGTCATTATTGGCAAAAAGGATAAAAACATCTGCCATCAGATGAGATTTTCCTCTGCCAGTTTCAAAGAAGGACCTTAACAGAAAAAAAACGCAAGCCTGGACTTCTGGACTTCTTTCCTTGACCACTGACTGAGGGAGAACGAAGACTGGCACTGCAACATGCCCTCTCTGGATACAGATGGTAAGGAAATGGCTATGGCAGAACTTCATTTCCTTCTCAGAGCTTGTGGTCTATACTCTTGGGTCACACTGGTTTTGCCAGCTATTCCAACCCCAGAAAGTGCAATACCATGCATGGTCTGAGGAAAAAAAACACTATTTTTAACCTATTTTTAAATAAATTGATAAGATTTTATCTCTTAATAAATACTTGCCTTGCAAACATTTATTCCCAGAGGCTTAATGTAAGCAAATTGGCCCTTATATCTAGATCAAGAGGAGGCTGCATGAAGCCAGGACAGAGCTGTGCTTCTGAACACTGTTTTCCCCTGAGAACCAGTTACTTCAGAGTCTTTGGAAAGCAGCAGAAGTGACTTCAAATGATAACCTCAGCTCTTCTGTGCTTAAAATGCAGCCACAACACTGCCTACATGGTAACTTAATCAGGCTCAGGACTGAAATGGAGACTGAGAAAAGTTTAACACGTTCAAGGCAAGAACCGAGAAGGGCTCTGAAGAAGAAACACAAATAGCAAGATATGCCAAGCTACAGAACACAGAGATTTTGGCTCTTTCCAAGTAATTGCTTTGTTGACTTTGGAGTGTTATGCACTAGGTGTTGGGGTCAATTAGCAGTGGTCAACCAGCAGAACAGAGGAACTGAGGCTGTTTGAAGATCTTTTTTTGTTTGTTTGTTTTAAAATCTGTTGGTAGAGAAGGGTAAAGGAAGACAAAAAGGCAAAGAGGAAGAGTTAGCAAGAGCAGCTGGAAGACAGAAAGAAGGAACATAAAGAAATAAATACCCTTTGCAATGAGAGAGCTTAATAGAGAATTGCAGCCATTAGCCACTGCAGAGCCTCTAGCAATTCTCCCTGGAAAGAAAATCTGTAGGCAAAACCCTCAATTGATATTAACAGAGCTCTCAACCACTTTAGACCAGCATAGGATCTTCCCCAGGGAGGATCATAGATTGATTTTATGAAATCCTACACCCCTCCAGGAAAATGGCAATTTTCCTTTGCATCAGTGGATTTCTGCCTGGAAACATGATCCTGGGCCTCAGGGGAGCTCCCTGCTCCACACACCGGGAACATTCAGCTCCAGCAACCAATGGGGATTCAGTGCATTAGCTCTCTTCGTGTATGTTCATTTTTGCAACACCTTAACTGTACAGAATCACATCTATGCACTTATATCATTGCTGTGACCTTCTCTTAGCTCCTGACCATATTTAGATAGAGAAAGTGTCCCAGAACATTTTCCCACAAGCTCTTGGAAGCTCTGCTACCTTTGTATCATTGGCACTTTAAAATCTACCCTTTCCAGGAAAAAAAAAAAAAAAAAAAGAGACTTAAATCAAAACAGGGGTTGTGGTAAGAGGCAATGTTGCATTAGGGCAGAGACAAGTACTTAAGGCTTGGCAGCTTCTGATTAATATCAGCCTTAGTCCAGTTCCCAAGGAAGATTTTCCAATTGATTTCTGTGGTGTTTGAATAAGGTTGGCACTGTACCTTGTGGATTGTTCCTTTCATCCGAGGCTCTCAAACACACAGAACAAACGGGAATGAACATAAAAGAGAGAAGAAAGGTCCCAGTTTTGCCCTCTTTTTACATGGATAGGTTCAATGGGACTTTCAAGGAGTAAACTAATTGTCTGATTTCTTTTAATTTGATGTCTTTATTCTATAATATTGAGAGGAGTATCATGCTGTACTTGCAACACCCGTTCTCTTGTTACTAATTGCCTTTGCAATCATCAGTAATAACACTGTTCCATTGAGAAGCAATAAAAATGTACCCAAAGCTACAATTTCTCTGATCACAAGCATTCACTGTTAAAATATTGAGAAGTATTTTCACAGTCTTCTGTGGGGGTAAAAATAAATAACCCACAACAATTTAGTTTTCTGCATTGCTGCTGCTCTCTCAAATGTCCTCCTTCTGGCACCAGTTCAATGATAACAGAATTGAGCAATATGGCTCCATGGGAAAAGATAATGAAGAATCAATGTCTAAGCAATTTCAGGATCATCTCTGAATTTGATGTCCAGCTGATTAGTTTATATCATAATGGTTCCTCGGTCCTATTTTAAGCATCTTAGAGAAGAACACTTTGTAACCCAGTTAAAATGCTTCCTCATCGGGAAGAAATCAATATCAAACAAGGCAGAAATGACCTCTGTCAAATTTTCTTATGCTCACCACAAGAGTGCTTAAAATATAATTCCCAGGGAATGTTCTGCAAATCGGAGTGAGTTTTAAATAATCCAGTGTAGTAAAAGGAGCTTCTAATGGTTCATCCAGAGGAGACTTCCATGCACTGAAGGAGGATGAATTAGCCTTACGTTTAAAATTCTGGCTTTATCATCATCATCTGATTAGCTCCAATCTCCCTCCTTCACCCAGACTGACAGGCTCTGTTGGCTGCACCTCTTTGACTTGATCCTGAAGACAACTCTAAACACTCCTGTGCATGTGTGTATCCTGGAGGGAGGCAAAGCAAGTCACTCTTGAGAGCATATTTTCTGTGTGTTTGGACTGGAAAAGCTGATTCATTCCTTTGTTGCCTTTAATTCTCCATATTTCCTTTGACTTTTAGGCAACTTTTTCCAGTGACTGGGAGAAGGGAAACATCACTCCCATTTTTAAGAAAGGGAGAAAGGAAGACCCAGGGAACTACAGGGCGGTGAGCCTCACATCTGTGTATGGAGCAGTTCCTCCTGGAAGCTATGTTAGGGTACATACTGGACATAGAGGTGATCTGTAACAGCCAGCACAGCTTCACCAAGAGCAGATAGGAGGGAAACAGACATTTTTACATGGTCTGGTAGTAATAGTACACTGGGGAACGGCTTTAAACTAAAGGAGGAGAGATTTAGATTAGATGTCAGGAGGAAATTCTTTACTCAGAGGCTGGTGAGCCCCAGCTACCCAAAGAAGCTGTGGTGCCCCATCCCTGGAGGTGCTCAAGGCCAGGTGGCAGCCCTGCCCATGGCAGGGGGTTGAAACTGGGTGGGCTTTAAGGTAGCTTCCAACCCAAACCATTCTATGTTCTATGATTCTGTGCTGTCTCGTTCCTCTCCCTCTCTAAACAGAACAGATTGTGGCACCATCCTACAAACACTGGTGAACAAAGATTAGATTCTTCGGCCTTGGTCAGTCAAGAGCACAGGATCTGCGACAGCAGAATTGGGTGCTGGAGAAATATCACACAAATGAGAGGCTTCACAATCACTGCTTGATGGAAATGATCCTTTGGAACAATACAAAGCATCATTTAGTGTTCCAGTGGGAAGTTAAAAGGATGATTAGGCTACTCTCTGGAAAAGGTACGTAGTTTCACATATGAAGTGTGTCAGGATGATAGGCAATTTTGTACTGCTTATATTAGAAGGCAGATTCTAGTCTTCTTCCTCAATTGCAAGAATGATTAAATTCTAAGCCAATAAAACAAGATAGTAAGTACTTTGCTTGTTTGAATGTGCCCTTTAAAAATTATGTATCATCACAATCATCAGACTGGTGAATGCTTACCAAATGCTCCTCTTTTTGCTGTTGGTGGTCAGAGAGCTCCTGGGGCTCTGGCATTCACACCCCAGCTGCTCAGTCCCACTCCTGTTGGGAGCTAGATGTGTCTGGGCAGCAGAGAAACAGCTGGTGTGAGGTGTTCAGGAGAATAGCAAACCAGAAGAGAAGGACACCCCCCACCCCTTCTTCCTTGCTACCTCTGAGCCAGCTGCTGGCCACAGGGCTGGAAGGCAGATGGGCAGGTTGCCATGCCCTTCCAGGGTCACCCCTCTTAGGGAAGTGAATAGCACTGCTTTCACATTCTCCTCCGCTTAAAGCCCTGCTTGCACAAGCCATCCCAAACAAAAAACAGCTTTTTTTCAGGTAACACCATTTTGTATGGAGTGGGAGTTTGAGCAGAAATGGAGAAACAGTCCAGACTTGGGCTATAGCTGCAGGAAAATATCTTCATCCTCATGAGACTTTGGTTATAACCACATTTTCACATTAGCAAGCTATTTAAAGAAAAAGAGCAATCTCTCTCATGCTCAGCTCTGGTCTCCTACT